GCCATCTCGTCCAGTTCCAGCACAAATAAAGGGATAAACACTTTAGTTCTGCTTAGCTTCTCTGACCATTGTCCAAGGACACCCAAAAGGCACGGGTGGAAGGCATGATATACATGCTGAACAACAGAGACAGCCTTGCTGGGATAAGTCACTGGAACCAGTTATCTTTATTGTCAGCTATTCCAGCTTTAGAATTTAAGTGAGTTTGGAAACAGTCTATTATTTCAGAGTCACCAGCCATGGCTCGGCTTGGAGTGAATATCTAGTTGGACTTGGATGATTTTCAAAAGCTAGGCGATGGATGGATCCACTTAGTACTTGGATGGGAGATCAGGCTGGGTTCCAGAAGGCAGTGACAAACCACTTCCTGGTATTGGGCAATGTTACCTTACCACTTAGGATCTCCTTAGAGTGGTGTGGTGGCCTAGTGGCGGCACTCTTGCCTCACAATCAGGAGGCTGTGAGTTCAATCCTAGATAGAGGCAGATGTTTTCTCTCTGGGCACACTGAGAATATATTTGCTGGGGGGAAAAAACTCAGCACCGGCAACAGGAAAGGCAGCTGGCCAGTAAACACTCATCTCCCTTCAGTTGCCCAAGACTCCATCCTACAAGGGATTACGGGGTCTTTAAAAGAAGATGAAGCCGATGACTTAGGACAGTGGTGGTGAACCTTTTGGGCACCGTGCTGAAAAGGGAGCACACACGCGCACACACTCGTCTGGGCCGCAACCCAGAAGAGGAGCTGCTCAGGGAGCATGCGCATGCCAAAAAATGAACTTCCGGTTTCCAACGCACACATGCACCCTGGACAGCTAGTCTTCCAGTTACTGGCACACATGCTGTCCTCCCTGCATGCGGCAGAGCCAGAAAACAGAAGACCAGATCTTCCAGTTTCTGGCATTGCCACATGCAGGAAGGCAAGCTGATTATCGTGCACACATGCGCACCAGAAACCCAGAAGAGGAACGGGTGACGCCGCACGTACCAGGCGACTTGGCTCGCCGTGCCACTTCAGGCATGCGTGCCATACCTTGGCCATCACGGACTTAGGGTCTCCTTAAGTCAAAATGAACCTGGTGCCATTTTAGCCAGACAGAGCTTAGGTTACTCTGAAGACAGATCTTCAAGCTCATGGGCAAGATTTGGCTCTGTTTTCTAGAAGGCTGAAGGCACCAGAAGAGAGTTGGGTCAAAGGCAGGTGGCCAAGACAATGGGACAAGAGCTTTGGAAGCCCCCAAAGAAGCCAGAAGACACTGGCAATGAGAAGGGATATTATGAAAGGACCACTCCCTGTAACACATAAGCAAGGTTATTTTTGCCACAATGCTTCCCTTGGGCAAATATGTTTTTCCAGCCGGCATCGGCACATGAACCACAATGGTGCCCCAGGGAAGCATTTAATGGTAATGAGAATGTCACCGAACGAGGCAATGATGCTAAATTGGAACGGGCAAATTGCAAATTGGCTCTGAGGAGGGGTCTGCTTGCTCCTACCGCTCTCAGAAAGGGGCAGGGGCACTGCCTGATACCCTCCCTCGAAGGTCCCCAACCTGGAGCCTTCTGGATGTGTTCGGATGATACTGAGGGTGAGGTACACAATCCTAAGACATCCAGGAGGAAGTTGGCAATGGCTCTTCTAGATCAAGCAAGTTGGAGAGAGCTTACCTTTGGGCTTCCTCGTAAACACACGGACTTCTCATCTGGGTATTTCTCCAACCTCTGGGGACCTTTGCTGGAAGATTTCCGAAACACCAGCCAGCAACGGCGGTAAATCTGAGTCAAAGAGAGAAAGGGGAAGGAGGAGAGAGGAGGAAGAGGAGAAGGTGTTTAAATGAGCAAGGTAAAACTCAAAGAAGCAATGTTGCACCTGCCATCTTGAAGAGTTGGACATACCCCTGTGGACATTTATGAAATGTACCTTCAGGAATATATTTGCATTACCGACAGCCCCAGAGATGGTGAAGCATCCAGAGGTTGGCTGTTCCAACATCTTCATGTGCCCTAAATATTAACTCTGCTTTTATGCCCAATAGTTCCAGAGTTGTGAATCCAAAGCAGTGGTGGGATTCACAATTTTTACTACCGGTTCTGTGGATGTGGCTTGGTGGGCGTGGCTTGGTGGGTGTGGCTTGGTGGGCGTGGCTTGGTGGGCGTGGCTTGGTGGGCGTGGCTTGGTGGGCATGGCAGGGGAAGAATANATGGTGTTGGCTATGCACAGTATACATGTGAGTGTATGAAAATGAAAATGAAAAAATAAAAAATATTACTCAAAAAAATATTTCTAAATACTTTGAGATAATAAGATAAACAATGCAGCACTGACAGCAGCAGCAACAAAACAGGGACTCAGTTTTGTACAACTCATGCATATGAAGAATTAGACAAATTTGAAGAATTATACGAAGAAAATAACAACTTTATATTTCATAGATGGATGACAAACCAATTTCTTCCAAATACATTAGTTAGATATATAGTACATCTTCTCCAGGATCCCAAATATTCTCCTTCAATAATTATTTATCCTTGTTATATCTGAAAATATTTTTTATTCCAAAGGCTTCTTTGGGAAATTCAGACAATGCTCTCTCTTTATCATTTTATGGTCGATCTTCTCTAAATAGTGTATAAGAGAACATTTTCTGATTAGACCTTCCCCTTTTCTGGAGTGGACCCAGAGAACTGCCATCTTCTATTTAAAAACCTTCTATATCTTGTCATTGTTTCTTTCAACATTTTTCTTACAAAAACTATATAGGAAAGGCATAATAGTTGTACAACTTTTTAAATTGGAAACATTAGAATTGTTCATCTGGAAACACTTTGTGAGAACAATACATGGAGGGATAGGTTTTCCACACAATATTTCCAGAACTGCCCTATGCCAGAGCCACTGCAGAATTAATGAAGTTATTTATATTGCTCTTCTTCATTAACCCTTGTTACACATTTTAAGAATTGGGTAAGATTTCTCCTAATAGCTCCATTGGTGTTAACATATATATTTTAGGGCTGCTTTACATCTTTCCACAACATGGCAATCAAATGTGATGGATTAGGATCTTCAAACTCTCAGTTAACCATGGCTCATTGAATTGGTTGGGTTCAAATAAGATGCTGAACAAAAATGGCTGCACTCACACAACTTGCTAAAACAAAATCAGGCAAATAATTGGAAAAAAAGTTAAAACTCAGTATCTTTCTGCTATGTGTCATACTAATCTAACTCTGTTCCTGCTCTGTAAAAAGCTAAAACTTTACATTAGGCATACTTTTTGTCTATGCATTCATTTTTAAAAATATGGAAAATATTTATCACTTAATACTCCAATGGAAAAGCGGGTAAAATTTCAAAAAGATAATAAATCTATAGAATTTATTCTAATTGTGTTTTGTTTTATGGATATATTTTTTGAAACTGTTTATCTCTGAGATACTACATAATAGCACTGTCAGTATTGCTTTCAATATAGCAATAGCACTTAGACTTATATCAGGGCCATCTTAACTAAGGTGACCAGATGTCCCGATTTTGGCGGGACAGTCATGATTTCTAGCAATTTGTCCCGTGTCCCACTGCGTTTTTAAAAAGTCCCGATTTTCTGGCTTCATGTGGAAAGCGCAGTGGATTTGCTTAAGAAATCCTAACCGGG